ACTTTCCAGTGTAGTATTCCTTGTTGAACTCCCATCCAAGTCTGACTAACCATGTCTGTCCAGATTAGTTTTTTGACATCAGTAAAGATCAGCAAAGTGCCATGTATTTTTAGAGTATAGTTTGGAAGCCACAGCTGGTGCAAAATGAAGCAGCCAGACTTCCAGTTAAGGAAACCTATTATATGCAGTTATCCCCATCTTGAGGTTGCTGCACTGCAATTGGAGGCTTGTAGGTCCAATTCAACATGTCAGTTGGTTCTTATAAAGCTATATACGATGTGGCACTGAATATATCAAGGACTGCCTACCAAGCATCATGCTGTCCATCTGGTTCAAATATCTGCAGAGGGTATAAAGGTCCCACCCCTAACTGAAGTGAGAAGGTTTGGGAACCAAATGCTAGTCTTTGTGGCAAAAACTCCAACACAGTGAATCACGTTGCCCCCAGAAGTATGATTGGCCATTACAATCCTGTCATTTAGGAAGACCCTGAAATCATTCTATTTCGATGGGCCTTTAGATCCTAGCACAATTGATCAGCAGCCGTATTTATAATTATAATTTCTCCTGTAGTGTTTTTAAACTGTAGAAATGTTCTGTTCTGGTTTGTTCTTTGTGTACTGTCCAGAGTTGGTTTAACTGGAGTAGCATAAAAATAGTGTTAAACAAAAAAACAAAACAAAATGAAAATGAAAATGAAAACTCTGAACGCTTTTGGAAGAAGCAAAATTCAAGAAATCCACCGATTGTGCCACATTTTTCAGAACCCAGTTTGAAAGGAGATTGTTGTTCTATGCTTAAGAATTAGTATGATTTGTGCTGTTGAAGGTGCAGAATATTAGTATAGATGCTGTATATTACATCTCTCTATAGAACAGGAAGTATGATTTATTTCTTGTTTATTTCGATAGTTAAAGAAAGATGCTTTGGAAGTTTCCTATTAGTGAATTCTCCATCAAAACACTGTTGTCTGCATGACACAAATAACACGAGAACTTTGGTGGCTCATTATGTTGCATTTGTCAAAGCCCATTTGATTGTGCTGCCGTTCTTAATCTCCATTTCTGCCTCTTCAAAAGCCAAGTCTCCCTATAGCAAAATGCTCTTTTGCTTTCTTGTGGGTCCTTCCTACATTTCTTCTTGCTTTTTCTTTCCCCTCTAGGGACAGGCTTCTTGATACCTGAGTCTTCCGGTGACTTGAGAATTGTCCTGCACTCTAAGCATTTTCTTTCTTACTAAGGCTAGAAGGCAAGGGCCCTTGTTAAGTAAAGTTCTAGGGCACCTGAAGCAGTCCCTCTCATTGCTGCACACACCACAGACTTTCTCTGAAGTCAATATAGCTGGAGGCTTTTTGTTCTTGGTTAATGAGAATTTCATCTTTCATTAATGTACATTTGAAGAGACAGAGTTCTCCCTTTGCCCTTCTTGTTTATCCTGTCTTAGGAAAGTGGGATATAAAGAAAGTTCAGAACTTGTGAATTTATTCCTTCATGGTACTTACCAAAAAAGTGTACAAGATAATAAAATCAGATTAAAATAATTTAAGCAGCAATACTTTATTGGATTGCATAGTAAAGTGAATACCTCCTTGCTTCCATTGTAGATAGAAGAATAAGGATAGGTTTATTACTAAATGTTACTCCTGTGCTTTTGAAACCTACAATAATCAACAGATGTTGCACTCAGATTCTGTTTAGTTGTCATTCCCTTTTTTGGCACTTTTTTCTTCCACGTGTTGCAGGTTTCAGTGCCTTAACTCACCCTCCAATTTTTCAATACATCAAATGTACTATTCTGCATTCGTTGTGTTTGATGTGATTAATGACTTTCATCAATAGTTCTTGTCAGTCTAAATATCTGTATGGTGTTCTGCCTCCATACCATGAGATAAAACTCTTTTATGACAGCTATGTTAATGGAATGATTTCTTCTATTTTTTTTTTAATAGAATGAATAGCATATCTCATGGTGGTGGTCATAGATTTATATGGACCATGGAGTCCATTACAGTTCATCACAATATAGGACATGTCATATAATACATACAGTATCTTAACAATGAGAAAAACTAGCATTGATTAGAGTGGCATGAACCATATAGAAGGGTGCTTCATGATGGACCAAAGTCCCCCTTCAAACTGTTTCTTAAATTGCTAAGATAGAGTGGCCTCTCAGAGGCTTTGCATAACTGCTTCAAAAGCCATCTCACAGCTGAGCATGTGAAGATATGTACTGAAGACATTTCTACTGGGATAGCCAGAAGAGTACATCCCTAATATTTATATTCTCAGAGACGCTGTTCCCTTAAATTTGCTTTTAATTAGAAAACTGTTTGACTGTAGCAAGTGGCTCCACTTCTCTAAGGAAATCATTCATAATTATGCATGCTCCCTTGTGCCTTGCACCACATCCCCTAATATTTCAGTTGTTTCATAGCTTGACAAAGGACCGTGTGAGTTGCATTTTCATAGCTTCTGACAGCTGCATTTGTTTGTTGCTTTTTTCCCACAAGATTCCTTATCTGTCTCAGGTGTGAGTCCTATTTTCCTCCAATGTGAGACCTTCTCTCTCAGGACCAAGACGTTTCTCTGACATGGAATGCTATCTATATCTTGTAATATAGAAGCTGCAAAGACAAAATAACTGTTCTGTTGGAACCGTTGTCTGCAGCAGTACTTGAGCAAGACTAGGTCATCATTCTGCACTTTGTTAGTGTACATGATTTAGCTCCTGCAACTATGCTTTTTATTATAAGTTAAGGTAAGTGTGCCATATCTTTGTCTTGAAGTGTCTGTACTGAAAAATAAAAACAGAAACAGTATTAACACCTCTCTTTTAAGAAACTTAAGGGTCACCCATGCATTGAAGCAAATGACTAATTATATATATGTACATAACACAGATCATTTATATGAAGTGGCTGTTCAAAATGGAACATTTTCATTGTCTTCTGCCGCAGACTTTTTAGGACGGAGAGTGATGTGTGAAAAATCAAACAATGATTTATTTTTATTTTATTTTATTTTATTTTATTTTTATTTATTTATATTTCAAATTTGGATACCACCCATCTCACCAGGAAGTGACTGGGTGGTTTTCAAAGTGATCCACTGATTTGATCAGGTTTAGATTGGTAAGGTTCTTATAGTCTTACAAGTAGAAAACAGGAAGGCAAACCTTGATCATGCTCTAGCCCCCCTGCCAGAAATCTGTTCTGGAACTGTATGAAAAATGGGGCTTGGGGTACAGAGGAAACAAGGGATTGGTGAAATTTACCTGCTTCCTCAGTGGAGAGCAGCAGTCTGTTTTGTTAATAGGAAAAATCAATTTTTTTGTGGAATAGTAAATGCAGATCCAACCCACAATGTTACTTAAAGAAAAGCATACTCATCTCCAGTAATACCTATACTAATTGGTTTTTATATAGTTGAAATGTAATAATATGAAAATCCTGGTGAATCAGTTAATATACCCATGTAGTCCTGCATTCTGCTCTTAAAATGTTATAATAGATACTTATGGGAATCTCATACCTAAGATAGAGCAGTTCCCCAGGTACCAGTATGATTAATAGCCGTTAATAGCATAATCTCTCTGAATGTGTATAATCCACTTTTAAACCTGCTGATAATTACCACTGTTTTGTGGCTGCAAGTTCCATAGATTGACTATATATTGGGTGAATTATATCTGTTGGTCCCTCCTAAATCCCCTATTATTCTGTTTTATCAATGACTGCATGTACTGGTTGCTCAACTTACTGATGTTGTTTTCTAAGCTCTGAGTACCAATGTTGCTACCTTTCTGAATGGGAAATGAACCTCATTCCTTGATGATACTAGTCCTGGTGCTGATAGAAGGCATATGGAAGGATTAATTGTAGAAATTTAAAATTTCTTTTGCATTAAAGATGTACAGTAATTCTGGTACATCATTTTTTGCACAGTTTTGTGAACTCACATGAGTTCACATGTCACAATAATAATGGAGATGAAGAGATATTTCCAAAACATATGGCAATAGCCATCGTACACTTGTTTCTGTAGCTCAAAAAAGAAAGAATTAACTGCAAGTAGCTTTTTTTAGAAATAAGCAGTGGAAGATATTCTGTATCTGTTTGAGGCTCACTTCTCATTACAGGTAGTCCTTGCTTAACAATGCTAACTGGGACCAGAAACTCCATTGTTAAGGGACACGGTCATAAGTCAAAAAACTACATGACCGTGCCACTTATTGATGGCAGTTCCAGCAATCCCGGTTGCTTTCGTTAAGCGAGGACCTCACATGACCATGATTTCTGCTGGCTTCCCTGTTGACTTTGCTTGTCAGAAGCTAGCAGGGAAGGTCGCAAATCGCAATTGTATGACTGCGGGACACTGCAACGGCTGTAAGTACAAGGACTGGTTGTAAGTACCACTTGTTCAGCACTATCATAAGTTTGAACAGTTGCTGAATGAGTGGTCATTAAGCAAGGACCACCTGTTTAGAATCATTTGCTTGAGGTTCCTTATAGGAACAAAATGAAGACTTTAATCAAGACACAAACTACAATTATACAGTGCCATTTGCTGAGCCCCTTTGTAACAGCTATATAAATTATAAATAAAATAATATCAATTCAGGTATTTTGCATGTTAGATTATATATAGCAAAAGTTTTGAAGCTTTTAAATTTACAGTAGCCTATTGAAAGATGTTTAAAAATGATCTCAATTTGCAGTATGTTGCTTATATAAAATAGAATTTCCAGTGGGTATACTGTAATCCTCAAATTATTCCCTATGGTATGTAACATGATAAAACTGCAATTTAAATATATAAAATAGTAACCAATTCCCAAGAAATTAAAATATGTTTGTATAAATCTAAACACACTATAAACCACCTGAATGAAATTAAATGCAGCTCCTGTTAATGGACTACTAATTTATGTAGTGAAGAAATTACTATTACTCCTGCAGATTTATTTTAAATTTGTCTATACACATACATATTTTTCAGGATAAAGAAAATGTGGAAGCTGTTTCAGTAGGGGCCATTCTTTCAGATTATCAACGAGTCCGTGTGGAAAATGTGTAAGTAAAATGAGACATTGCTTGCAGTGTAAGGTGAACATGTCGTACATGGCAACACAGCTATAGATTTCAGTGGTGTGGGCTAGATCAGAAATGTGATTGCTTCTAACTGAAAAGCATGCCTATCAACTAAGGTAGCAGAGTATAAAGTTTCATTATACATTTCATTCAATATTTGTATGATGCTAAATATATAATTGTAGGGGTGTACAATGGATAAAATCAAATTTACAATGGATAAAATAAAAAAGACTGAACTCTTAGAAACAGAGTCTTGAATGTCTTAAATGTAGTTTTGTCTTCTAACTATATAGATTTCATGAACTAAAACCCATCTTTTCCTGTTCAGCCTTGCAGTGAATTATCTAAACATATAAGGGTTGAATGAAAACTATTGCCCCCAACTCCATAACTTTAATTTAAATAGGGGTATTTTAATAAAAAGAAACAGGAAAATAATCCTGGAAATGAGATCTATTGTTATCTGTATTTACGTCTTCACATAATCACTACCATTTGCTACACACGTCTTTGCAATTGCCACTTGGGTGGCTTGTAAAGTATAAAGCCTAGCATTGTCATGTTGCAGCAAAATTTCCTTCTTCTGATTCCAAACTCTGCTTAATCATTGTTTCAAAGTTTCAAGTGTTGTAATGTAACACTCTGAATTGATAGTGGTGCCTGGTTTAATAACATCCATGTAAATAACATCATCTATACCATGAGTTTTCCAGTCAAAGCCTCAGTTTTGAATTTACTTTGTTTTGCAGTTTTGTGATTATATTCCATGGACTACATTTCTGTCTCACAATGATGAGCCCATGTTTCATCAGCTATCATGATGCTGTGAAAAAATTCATTCTTGTAGTATGACAACAATTGCTGCAAATTTCAACTCTTGAAGCTTTCAGTCATGCTGTCAGCTTATGTGGAACCCATCTTGCACAAAACTTCCAATACTGAAGAACAGTTCACAGCAATTTCCTTTTGAGTGGTCTGTCAATTGTCCTTATTCAGTTCATCAACCTTTCTCATGTGAAACTGTTCTGTTGCTGTCACAGGTTACCTTCTTCATTCTTGATCAGCTCTTCCTGGTTCACCATCTTTGCATTTTTTTGGCCCAGCAGTGCACAATACTCACACCAACATAGTCATCACCATAAACAACCTGCATTCAGTGATGAGTTGGAGATACTCCTTAGGTAGTCAAAACTTCAATCATAGTACACTATGTTGCTTAAAGCACACTGGTGGGTATTTACTGCAGGCTTCCATTTCACAAACAGTAGCAATATAACCTTTTCTTACAGCAACTTTCCACCAATAGAAATGAAAGAACAAATGCTAAACACAGGGCTTCTACTGCCATTTGTTAGCAACTTATAACATTGGAGGCATTACGTTTCATTCATTCAACCCTTAGATGTTCAAGTTAAACCTGTGCAAATAATGTTGCTATGTGGTCCCAAATGATACTTTCTGTTCAGTGATACTTTGAATATATGTGAATTACTTGATAAATATTTATTTGGAGAAACTTTTTATTATTTGGAAAGAACATATGAAACTTACCTTGACATAGTACTGACATGCTACAATGTTTTTTTTCTTTTTTTCTTTTGCTTTGGAAATTTGGGAACTAATTGCATGACATTCTGATATTTCTTTGGTATTCTGGTTTGTCCATATATTTTGCTGACTCAAAAAAGAGAGTCTACCAATAGTACTTGTATAGAGGATATGTCCAAAAATAATATCACTCGTCTGGTGCATTGTGTGGATGTTCTGGATGTATGTAAAAAACCTAGTCTATGTCATCTTAGGAGACTTGAAGGTTGTGAAAAATGAAGGTGATGGAGTAGTATAATGGAAGATAAAATGTATAATTCTATTGTTCAGATGAACTACAGAGGCTGTATTTTATCATGAAAACATAGCTGAGTATGTAGCTAACCAATGTTTTGGAATGGTGCAAACTGATCTTTCTGCTTGCCTTAGAATACTATTGTATACCTGCTCTTTCAGGACAACACACAATGTAGCAAATAAAGTTGATTAAAAAAAAAAATCCAATCAATGGCTAGCCATTGACACTCCAAATTCCAGGTAGTTACCTTATTACATATTACTGAGGTAGCATGGCTTGAATTAATCAAATATGTAATGAGCATTCCTAGTCAAGTAAACCTCCAGAGGTTCCTGTCAGTCAGAATGCACATACATTTACCCAGTATCTTTACCTTTAGAAAAAAATTCCCAGAGGGAGATTTGGCTAAATTCTTAAATAAATACATTTCCCCTCACCCCACTGAGGTTAGCTAGCAAGGAAGGAGCTTGCTGGAGGCTTTTTTTTCTTTGTCAGTCTAGTGAAATATGGGGCTACAGGGAAGAGAAAGGATAAAGTCTATCTTTTAAGAAGGAAAGAATTACAACCAGATTTCTAGGTGCAGAAGTATCAGATTGAATGTGTCATTTCGTTTTAAAGTGCACGTGTTCAAAGCTTTGTCTGACTCCTTTCACAGTTATTTTCCACTGAAACTCAGTATTTGTTTTGTCTGAGTTTGCCTTTGCTTCTGCTTGTTCTTTCAATTAGTGTTCCCACTCTCACAATCCATTCATGTTGCTCCTGCTGCTTCATCGCCACCAACATCATCTCCTCTCTTCCTCTTCTTTTTTTTTTCTCTCTGTCTCTCTGTCTCTTTTCTTTTTTGCTGTTTTCAATTTTAATAAGCTAATATTTTAAACAGGCTGATTTGGTGCCAGTTTATGCCTGGTAATATATCTCACATGGTCTTGGCCTCTCCAAATTGAATACCAGGTGCTGGGTTTTAGTTTGTGTTTTTCTTTCTTTCAGCAGGAAGGGAAGGCAGTGTCTTTCTGTTAATCTCATACTGATGCCCCTGATAGAAGGAAGGGGGAGGGGACTGAAAAAGCCAGTGAAAATTTATTTAAGTGAAGAGCTATAATGACCTTAAAGCATTGGTGATGCGTGCTGTCACTGGATAGTCACTATTTAAATGGGATCCCATAATGCCATTCCATTTGTGGATGCAAGAGGAGATTCTTAATATCTATATGGTTGCCCTCTACATCTGCTATGCAAGTTTGGAGATACTCCAGAACAGACTGGGGCTTGAGCAACAGATTGGGTAGGAGGTGTAGAGCGGGAAATTTCATTGCAAGTGGAAATGTATGGATTTACTGTTACATTTAGCCCAGTTTGTCTTCATCCTTACTAATTATACCTATTGTAATTTGATAAATTAAATAAAGTTGCTTAGAAAGTTAAATGATCTGTGTTTAGTTGTACTAACACATCCATCTTTTCTTTCTGAAAACAGTTGTAAAAGGCTTGCTCTGCAGCCTCTAGCATACCTGTGGCGTCAGAATCAAGACACACTGCTGAAAGAAATTATATCCTTGAAAGTTCAAGCTATAATAATAAAAGTAGCAGCTTTCGGTAAGAATTCAAACTATCTCTAGTAACTGTGGTGCATCTACTTTGTCAATAAGCAATCAATACCATAAAATAGCCACAGGAATGTATTAATCTGTTTTGTAATTAAAATGTACTCAAGGGCAGAAAACTGCACCAGGAGAAAGTGAAGTATGGAATATAAATATGAGGAATGGAATTTCAGTTGCACAGTGTTATGTCTAAACAATTAATGGATCTAGTCAATAAATATTTTTAATGCCAGATAGTGGAAAAAAGTGTATAATCATTTTAACTTTCCTCATTACATTTGCACGGGGAGAATGTTTTTTCAAGAGATGTTCATTTATAAAGTAACCATTTTCAGTTTGCTTGTAAGAGTTATGCAAATGCTAGAAATTGGACCATTATTACAATAAATTATAGGAACTTCTAATGTAAAGAGTTAAGTAAAAACTTTACTAGCAGCAATCAGTAAATGACTTTGCAAGACAAAAGAGGTATTTTCCTGTTCAGTCTTAAGATAATCTGTTCCTAAATTAGAAAGAAAAGATACTTATTACTGTCCTAGTTTGTCCTTTGTGTATTCAAGCTACTCTGTGCTGTCCAGATTTAGTTGTACATGTTGTTCTGTTACTTTGCTCATGTGCATGGCTCCATTGTAGCATTCAGCAAAGTTAGTTTACCACTTGGGAAATTTTTTAAGGACAGTTGGGTTTTGCTCCAGATAATTGAGCAAAACTCTTGCAGTTTAAAAGATAATTGTATGTGTGTGTAGAAGAAGAGAATTTCAGTGGAGTTCAGAATCAACACATTGACTTTCATTGGCAAAATTGTGATTTTCACATTGAACTGACCTACTACAGAAAATACTTTGGCCACTAAGATCTGTCCGAGCAGAGTATTATAAATTCAGACTTACTGAATGGTATGTGGTTCTCTAACTACACAAACTGATGAGAAATACATTAATAGGCCAATACATCATTTCAGAATTACAGTCCTCTCTGTAGTATTTCACATAAAAGTGTTAGATGAGATCTTGGGTGTAAAATTTGATAAAAAGATGATTTTCCTTTTGGGTCAGTGGGGGTTTGTGGCCCATTAGACCAAAGAATGGCCAGTATAATAGGAAAGAAGCTGTTCTACATGAGTGGCTAAAAATAAATTTCTGATAAAGTGCACAGTATAATCTTGGTGTGAATTAAATCATATAGTCAACTATGAGGTGAACTGTTTTTATAAGAATTTGCCTTGTTTAAAATGGGAATTCATTTATTGGGAGTAACATTGGTAGGAGAAATATTAATTCTTCAGGTGTGATGTTTCACCAGAATCATTTTATTTTATATCACTTCTGATAAGAACAGTAAAATAAGATCATCCCAACTTCATTTAGTGTTTTCTTAACATTTATACAAAGGATGAGAAATAATTTTTAAAATCTGTCTTTGATCACAAATTACAAGATAATTCATTTAGTTGGCAGGATTTGGTATCCTGTTAAAACTTATCTATGTCAGTTTCTACAGCAAACTTCTAGCTTTTTATTTAATAATAAATCTACTATCTTTGAAGAGGGCAAGCAAGTAACAATAGCTTGGGGTCCAGAAACAGAAAATATTTTATTTTAAAGTATCTTGGAATAGAGTCATTATACAACTAGGTATATGGTTGCAAAGCATAACCAGATTATGGTTGGTTAGTTAACCAGAGTCACAAGATGGTGGCAACCTTGTGAATAGGTGTTTCTTATGTTCCAGAAACGGCTGTGGAAGGGTTGCAACTTCTATGGGAGATCAGCTGCATATTTTGTGATGCTCCTGAATCTCCTTTTGAGACTTGCAGCCTTCATTCATAAATTTATAAAGCTTTTGCTGCATAAACAGCTACTGCTGCTCTATGCTCAAGTGTAATTTGGCCCTTGAAAATGAGCTGAAAGCCTCAAGTAAAGGACAGAGCTGGCAGAATGTTAATATGCATGGCTGGGTGGGATCACATTACGTCAGGTACAAGGGAACAGTGTTTTTGCCTTTTCGTTTCCATGCCCAACTTCTATGTATTTTTTCCCAAAATTAGGAATATGTCTGTGCCTATTTTGGTACCCCTTTTGGAAATATTCTGTGAAAGTGCAACTAGTTCTGAATTGGCAGCCTTTGGTGCAAAGAGAAAACATTTAGATTATGCTGTTGCATTCTTATTACCTTCTAAAACTTGCTTCATTATTTTATTGTTTCTCTTGTATTTAGCACTGTATGACAGTTCTGATTGTACACACTGGTCCACTCAGGAAAGAGTGTCTTAAAAATATTTTAAAAGAAATTATATTTAAATTAATTAATTTTTCTCCTCCAAATTGTGCTCCATGATGATCAGTTGGGTTTTTAGTGTTGGCCTGGCTATTAATGTATCTAGAATGGGCTTATGATTGAGCCCAATTTCTATAAAAGTAAGTTATGTCTCTGTATACAATCCAAAATCCTTTCAAAAAAAAAAAAGGGGGGAAGAAATGGGTAAATTCTGAGTGACAGAGGAAATGACTGCAGGGGTGATTTTGCCAGCGACCTGTGTCATCCCTTAAGTAAGATAAACTTGTCTTTGTATCTCATCAGCCTGGAACAAGTTAGAATGTGCTTACTGATACACAAAGAACCCTCTGTGGCATTTTTCTTCAGAGCACAAATACCATAAATAGTTTTAGATAGTAATTAGATAGAAAACAGCTGCCTCTTTTTTCTTTTTTGGCTACAGGTAGAAAGAAAGATCTTATCAGACTAAATTTCTCACCTGCCTAGGGCAGGAATAATTAGACATAAGCAAATTTAATGGAGCTTCTTTGCTCCAGAGGGCACACCGCAGTGCTTTAATAACAGTGTGCTTTATTAAAGGAGGTTTAAGGAATTATGGCTGTTTAACGTATCGAATGGCAGAGAAGTTAAGGTATGGGTTACCATTTTACTTTTAGATGAATAATCAAAGCTGCTTTTAAGCTAAATTGCAGTAAATGTGTTTGGAATAACGCATTTAAAAGGCTGAGTAGTAATACACATTAGATGGCGTGTTGCGCTGATGTGAAAAGAATCAGTGAATATGTAACTTGAGCTTGACATTTATCAACCCTGGCGTGCTCCTATAGCTCTGTTTTCCATTAGTTTAATGACATTGGTAGAAAGGTGTAAGATTATAGGCAACATATAATTATACAAGTAAATACACATTAATTTCAGAACACTCTTTTCAGTTGGCACTTACAAATTAATATCTGCTGATGGTGACTTTCTGAAGAGGGCAGTGGTTTCCTCCATACTTTTCCTTAATAATCCTGCTGTAACCTCTTTTTCCTCTGTATAGTATGGAAGTCCACTTCACTGAAGGATTCAGGGAACTGCTGTTTTTTTGGAACTCCCCAAAAGTAAGATGAACTGGCAGACTGTTAGCAATATAGTAAAGAAATCTATTAGAAGAGGCAGCACCTTAATGCAAAGGCAAGAATAGGTTGGAATTCAGAAAATATAACTTCCTGTAAGGAAGTGTTGAGTGGCACCTCACAGGTCTCCGTCTAAGCCCTGTGCTATTCAACATATTTGTAAATGACTTGGATGAAGGGTTAAAAGAATATGAAAATCAAATTTGCAGACCACAGAAAAATAAGGAATAGCAAACGCTTTAGAGGAGAGTACCAAGATCCAGCAGGAGCTTGACAAGCTGAGACATTAGGCAGAGACCAGCAAACGGTATTTCAGCAGAAACTCATGCAAAGTCCTACATTTGCATAGGATTCTTTTTCCTTCCAATGATTAGAAAGTCATGTAGGAAAAAATGAAGCCATGAGTATAGGATGATGAGAACCATACTGGCAGCAATGCATGTGAACATTTTGTGGATGTCTTAATGGATCACAAATTGAACATTAGCCAAGATTATGATGCAGCTTCAAGAACCAACAAAAAAAGAACAACCCAAGTGTAGGCCTAGGCTGTGTCAACAGAAGTATAATATCAACTTTGAATGAATTCATTGCTCCTCTGTATTCTACATTAGTTGGAGTGTATCTAGAGTACTGCATCCAGTTCTTGGCATCACATTTTAGGAAGGATATTGACAGACCCAAGTGGATCATGATAGTTACGTATCTTCACGTTTCTGAAGGTCTGTTATGTAGTATAGAAGACAGGCAAAATTTTTCAGAGTTGTTTCAAAAGATAGGATAAGAATAAATACAGTAGGTATAAATTATAAGGAAATATATTTAATTTGGCTATCTGAAAAAAAATATTTACAGTAAAAGCTATTCAACTATAGAACAAACTGCCTCATGAGGATAGATTCTCTTTTGCTGGAGATGTTTAAACAAAGCCTGGATGGCCATCTGTTAGTATGCCTTAGTGGGGGATTCCTGCACAAGAGGGAGTCCTAAAGAATTTTCAATTTAAGTGGACAGTAAGATCTCAACTAACCTGTGAGCCTCAAAAAGGAGCAAGAATAAAAACTTTTTATTTGGGGTGCCTTGAGAAACAGAAGCGAAAATAAAAGAGCATGACTGTTATCATTACTTGTAATGCTTGTGTGTTTGTGCCTGAAAACTACCTGACATATATTAGTAGCAAGTCAGTGCTTTGAAGTAATGCTCAAAGAAAGAGTGGAAGTATTGGAGGAGAGAGTAGAGATACTTTAGCTCATAAAAGAGGAGGGAAATGAATTCGTTCAACTAAAGGACTGATAGAGGAAGTGAATCAGAAAAAGCAATCAAAGAAAGAGAATTAGCCAAAGAGCTAGACCAGTGGGTGACAGTGACAAGAGGAGCAAGAATTGTGAAAGGTATTCTACAATACTAGAACTCAGAATAAGCTTGGATATCCTCATAGGAGAAAAAGGCTCTGAACCTTCAATGGTAGAAAAAGCAGTACTGCTAATCAGGAGGCAGGAATATAGATCTCTGAAGAACAGAAGGAATGCAGCTGCTCTTTTCAAGAAGGGGGGGGGAAGATTTGTGGTAATTAGCAACTCATTGTTATGAGGAAGAG